GGCCCTGCAATTGACCATTAGCTTCTGGTTAAAATTACTTTCTGAGTGCACCACGGCCTCTAGCAGAAGTTTCCTAATTACTCTCTCTTCTTTACTGGGTGTAAGTCTCCTCAATAATCTTCCTCAAAGGGAATTTCCAAGTTCCAATACTGGCATTAGTTGACCTTAGAACTGTAACAACAGGACAAGGCAGTACTTGAGAGATACACTCAATACAATTAGATGCCATTTCAGAATTTATAGGAGCGGTGTTCTTGCTGATATAAAAGATAGGAAAACAATTCAGAAATGGAATGAGACCATAGATAGATTTATTGCCTGTCAGTCACCCTAAATGGGTGATGCAAACTCAAATCAGACAAATTAGATGATACAATATTTGAATCCAGGGCACTTAGCAAGACAACCTCAACTTGAAAAGCATGATATTGAAATACTCAGATGTCTAGCCTTGGCTTAGCATTGGCTGTGAGGGTCTAATAATGGGGGAATGTTCTGGATGTTTGTAGTCCAAATGCCATGTTTGTGCCATGGATTGACTTGTGTCTGTCCAAAATTCATATGTTGAAATTCATATATTCATATGATGGGGCCTTCAAAGAGGTAATTAAATTAAAATGAGGTTATTATGGTGAGCCCTGGTTCAATCTGGCTGGTGTCCTTATTAGGAGAGGAAATCTGGGCACACAGGAACCCCACAGATGTGCACAGAGAACAAAGGTCACATGAGACATAGAGAGAAGGTTGTCATGTGTGAGCCAGGAGGGCATAGACCTTAGAAGAAACCAAACCTACTGACACCTTGATCTGTGAGGAAAGACTTTTTTGTTGTTTAAGCAACCTGGTCTGTGGCATTTTGTTGTGGCAGCCCTTACAAAATAATACATCCCTTACTTCAACTTAAATCCAGTCAGTGGTTACTATTGGTAAATTCAATTCAGAAAAATTACTTGTGATGAAATAATTGACCTTTTAGTGTTATAAACCTTAAAATTAAACATAGAAATAGTCTGTAAATATATTCAGCATTTAAAAATTGTAAATGCCTACATTTAAAAATATTTTTGAAATAATTACATTGTAGAGAAACTATTGTATAGAAGATAAAATATCTTACAGATGTCTTACTATTCCACTTTAAAGTGTGATAATTAAATAATTGAGTTAGATTTAATTTTAAATTGAAATTTTATACACATAAATTGTATGGAAACATTTGAATAAACATAGGAATCATTATATTCATATGAATTTATCAGATTTAAAATAGCCATTTAGGGCAAGACATGGTGGATCAAGTCTGTAATCTCAGCACTTTAGGAGGCAAAAGCAAAAAGATTGCCTGAGCCCGGAGGTTCAAGACCAACCTGGGAAACTTGGTGAGAACTCATCTCTATAATAAATAAAAAGAAATTAACTAGGCGTGGTGTCACACATCTGTGGTTCTAGCTACTTGGAAGGCTGAGGCAGAAGGATCACCTGAACTCAGTAGGTTGAAGCTGCAGTGGCCAAGAGTGTGCCTCTGCAATCCAGACTGGACGACAGAATGAGATTCCAACTCAAAAATAGATAGATAGATAGATAGATAAATAAGCCATTTAAATGAATGAAAATATTAATTTTTACTAAAATTTTGAAAACCTTAAAAAATTGAATATCATATAATTTATGAAATTTTATAATAAATTTATAAAATTTAAAATGTTTAAAGAAATTTAGTTCAACTATAGAAGGACACATAAAAGTGATCGCTAAAGTAAATAGCCCCATAACAAAGGGGGCAAAAGATATGAATAGACTCTTCTCAAAAGAAGACATACGAGCAGCCAACAGATACATGTAAAAATGCTCAGCCTCACTAGTCATCAAAGAAATACAAATTAAAACAGCACTGAGATACCACCTAGCTCCAGTCAGGATGACCATCATCAATAACTCCTCCCCCCCAAAAAAAAACAGATACTGGAGAGGACACAGGGATAACGGATCACTTCTACACTGCTGGTGAGAGTGTAAACTAGTACAACTTCTGTAGAAAACAGTGTGGCGAGTCCTAAAAGATCTAAAAATTGACCTCACATATAACCTCACAACACCCCTTCTGGGAATATATCCAGAGGAACTCAAATTACTCTATGAAAAAGATACCTGCACACACATGATTATTGCAGCATTATTTATAATAGCAAAAACAAGGAACCAACCATGCTGCCCATTGAAAGAGGACTGGATTTAAAAAAAAGTGGTACATATACACAATGGAATATTACGCAACCATAAAGAAGGAAAAAATTATGAACTTTGCAGCAATTTGGATGAACTTAGAGTCTATAATACTCAGTGATCTATCACAGAAACAAAGAACTGAGTATCACGTTCTCAGTCATAAGTGGACCTTGAACAATTATACTACTATAAGAAAGGGATTGGCAGCCGGGCTCAGTGGCTCAGCCTGTAATCCCGCGCCTTTGGGAGGCTGAGGTGAGTGGATTGCCTGAGCCCGCGGGTTCGAGACCCGCCTGGGCAGCGAGCTCTCATCTCTACAATAAATCAAAAAATCAGCCGGGCGTGGTAGCGCATGCCTGTAATTCCGGCTACTTGGAAGGCTGAGGCAGAAGGATCGCCAGAGCCCAGCAGGTCGAGGCTGCGGTGGCCAGGAGCGGCCACTGCACTCTAGTCTGGGCGACAGAGTGAGACTCCAACTCAAAAAAAAAAAAAAGGGATTGGCAGTAGTTGGAAACTGCCTCGGGAGGGGGGGTGGGAGTGGCAGTAGTTGAAAACTGCCAGGGGAGGAGGGTCACACCTCATCAACAAGGGTACCTGCATAATGAACATTTGTATACCTAACCCTGAATTGTACCCCACATCTTCAAAATTAAAAAAAATTTTTAAAAGTGTTAAAATTTCATCAAGTCTATGGGTAGAATAGCAAAATTTACACATTATAAAGTATAAGGAACTAGTGTTTCTGAATATATAAATATAATAAATAAAATATTTATTTAATTACAAAATCATCCCAGACTTACAGAAAAGTTGCAAACACAGCATAAATACCTTTTCCTCTGAATTATTTATAGATAAGCTACTCTCATGATTCCCCTTGACTCTCAAATGCTTCAGTATAGTTTTCTACATTTAAGGACTTTCTGCAGTATAACCATAATATACTCATCAAAATTAGAAAATAAACATTTTGCATTATTATCACATAATCTTCAGAAACTATTGAATTTTCACCAATTGTCCCCAAATTCCCTTAATAGGCTATGGATCTACCTCAAAATCATGTGTGGTGTTTGGTTGTCCTGTCTCTCTGCTCTCTTACAGTGGGGGCAGCTCCTCACTTTTCTGTCACCTTCATGAGCTTGACACTTGTGGTGACCTCAGGCCAGTTATTTTGTGTAATGTCTCTGGTTTGGGGTTTTCTCTTGATTCAGTTCTGGTTATGCAGCTTTGGCAGGACTATATTATAAAAGGGACACCACTTTCCTCCATTGCACCAGATGAGTTTTACTACTCCAATTTAAATTGTGGTATCTGACTAATTTATTCCGACACGAATCTCACTCCTATCTGGTAGGTCACAAACTCAGTTTGCCTCATTACTGACAATATTCTCTTTGATCACTTGCTGAAAGTGGTGCCTGTCAGCCATTTCCATGATTCTCCCTGTAATTAATAAGTATTTAGTGGAGTGACACTATGTAAATATCCTTTTTTTCTCATCAAATTTTCAATTTATTTATGTCTGTAGATCAATATAGACTCATGATTTCCTATTATATTTCTGTCATTATCATTATTTATTTTGATGCCCAAACTGTCCTAGATTTCACCAGTGGAAGCCCTTCAAGGTGATTTATGTGTCCTTTTGAGAAATCCTCCGACCCCCTTTTTTTTTCTTACAATGTCTTTGCTTTCGAGTATAAAGAGATGTTCCAGATTCTTGTGTTTTCCCTGTCTCAGTCATGAAACCAGCCATTTTTCCAAGGATCTATACTTCCTTTTGGTGGAAAATAATGCTGAGAATCTAAGATATGGGTGTCAAGGGTGCTCATGAATATCGGGGCATTGCTGCTTCTAGGTCTTTTCTGGACAGAGTGGGAGAGTATGAAAGTACCCACACATATGTTTTGTATCTGTTCTCTATACTGTATATATTGAAAACCATGAAATCACATGTATACTTCCAATTCCAATTTAGCACCACTCTACTCACTGGGATCTGACACACCAGGCCAACACCCCATCATGAGAACATCTTTCCATTTGAACTCTAACCCACTGTCTGGGGATCCCCCATTCCCACATATTGAGTGGACGTCCACCTTGCGAATCTCGCCTAATGGCTTCAGTCCTAGGTTGTTTGGAAAGGAAAGAGAATTAAACAGGAAGGAGAATAAAAAGAACCAAACATTAATTTTAAATATAACATGTCCTTCAAGTAATGTCTTTTTTGCACAAAAGCCACCTGCCAGCTCACTAGGAAAACATGTTCATTTCTCTTCTGAAGTCTTCGTTTTTCCAAAATCTTCTGGTTTCCTTTGGATTCCATTTCTTCAGCTTTACTATCACAGGATTCATAGTGTCCAGGCACATAAACATATGAATTCTTTCATTCATGGTATACATCATCTCATGAGATATTTCAGGTTTTATTTACTCATTTGGAACTATTGAAAACTCTTTATTTATATTTCCTTATGCCTGTCATCTGTTGTGGGGCTCCATTTCAATATCCAATGATGTTAAGAACTAGCATTGCCACGTGGCATTGTACTTAGTTCACTGGGTTTGGCAAGAGTGGAACCTGGAACATTTTTGTTTTGGAAAATCTGAGCTACAAAATATGTCACCAATTACTGTATCTTTGAAGTAGCGCAAAACTCTCTCCCAGGAACTGTTGCAATCAGCTTCAATGCTCAGAAAAAAATAAAATAAAAAGGCCTCAAATCAGATTAAGGGACTATCTGTATAATAAAAAGAGTCAAGATTATGTTTTCTTTCTAATTTCTTTATTAACTTTTATTACTCGAATTTGCCTTCTAGCTACAGGGCTCCTTTACTGTTCTAATTTGCTTTGGTCTGCAGGACTTATTTAGATTTAGCAAACAATTAGGAAATCATCTGACACGTTGGTACTTAAGTCTTCCTTCTAGAAATGTGATCAAAGATGACAGCTTGTGTGTAGAGTTCGGTCTGGATAGGGATTCTAGTAGAGTTGTCACCTGGTTGTGCCTAAAACACATCAAGCATATTGTTAGTCAAGTCCACGTAAACAGTTGGCATTAAATAAATGTTATTTTTGCTTTGATATGGAATTCAGAACCTAAAAGTTCTGGTTTTTTGGAGACTATTTACATGTTTTTTCTCTAGATTATTTTCATTAGTAGCTGTGATGATTCCAGTTAGGAGCCTGGAGGGTCTGGGTTGTAACATCATTTACTGAAAATAGCTGGGATCAAAGAAGTGTCACAGGCTCATGCTAGTCTAGACTCTACTAAACCCCCTGAGCCACTAACTGCAGAATTCCTAGTAAAGGATTTTACAAAAACATGTTACTTCAGGAAAATGGTTTTTTGTTTTTTGAGTTGGAGTCTTACTCTGTCACCCAGACTGGAGTGCAGTGGCATGCTCCCGACCACCGCAGCCTCGACCTGTTGGACTCAGGCAATCCTTCCACCTCAGCCTTCCAAGTAGCTGGAACTACGGGTGTGTGTTACCACGCCCAGCTAATTTTTTGATTTATTGTAAAGATGAGGTCTCTCCAAGTTGCCCAGGTGGGTCTCGAACCCGCGGACTCAGGCAATCCACTCACCTCAGCCTCCCAAAGCACTGGGATTACAAGATAAGCCACTGAACCCAGCTCAGGAAAACAATTTTTAAAAATTCCTATCTTGACTCCAAGTTTGCCAAATAAGCACATCTCAAAATTGGAATTGGTTTAGATCAGTGGAAGTACCTGTTCATGGTGAGTTTCACAATTAAAAAACAAAACAAAACAAAACAACTTCATCCTTGTCAACTTAAAAACTATGTGATCTGCTTTTTTTCCTCCCTTCAAATTATAGTCTTTTAAAATGATTTGGTCCTTTTTCCTTTATGGAGCATAATTTATCATACTAATAAAGCTCCTAGGGAGTTCCAGATTTTGGAGTTCCAATATACTAATGTGATATTGATCAGGAGAGAAGGTTCAAATGAGGCTGATTCTTGAGCAGGAAAGACATAGAAAGGGTTCTAAAAGAATTGCACAATATCTACAGTTAGAAAATGTTGGTAATTGGGCTTTTGTACACTTGATGTACAAAAGAGCAATATTATTTGCTTTCATTTCTATAATAAGTAATACATTTAAAATTGAGAATAGAGAGAAGGTTGGTATTGCCTTTTCCTCATAGTATATAATTTCTTGGGTTAATTGAAAAAGAATATTTTGGACCCATCTTTTTCACTCACACAGTCAGAAAAATTGTGAAGTCTCTGTAGTGGGAAAAAAAAGTTGATATCCTAACTGGTTCCCATCTAAGTTAGTTCTGCTTTTCATTGTGTTGGTACTATAGGAAAGTAATTATAATACAGAATATCTTGTTGGCAAAGATATTCACTGCCCAGTGAAATGGAATTAATCACTTCCCTGAATAGGAATCTGTTTTGCATCTAGTTCATGTCAATTTTCCTTATTCCCCACACAGTGTATGTTCTGACCTTTGAATTCTCCTTTGAACTGGTTGTAACATCTTACTGGTTCCTTCTATAATTAATGAATTAAATAAATTTTTGGCACACTCATTTTGTGTCTTTATGAGAGTTATGATTATATCCTTTTTAGAAAAATTATCTTAGGAACATTTTGGTGGTGCTACTGACCATGCCTGATGAGTTCCTCTGATGGATGAATAACCTAGAGGAGTGTTGTACCTCTGGGTGGTTTTACCCAACTTTCCAGAGGCAAATCTCCTGTAGCAATAGAAATTTAATTTTGCCTATCCTCTCTTTCTTTCCATATTTTACCCTTTTTACTGTTTGTTTGTTTTGTTTTTGTCTTTGGAGTCTTTTTTATTTTTATTTTTATTTTTATTTTTTTTTGAGTTGGAGTCTCACTCTGTCGCCCAGACTGCAG